TTTAGAACGTTTTTGCTAGAGAGTTAGTTTGTTAGAGAGTTAGTTTGTTAGAGAGTTAGTATGTTAGTTAGTTTGCTTGAGAGTTAGTTTGTTAGAGAGTTAGTTTGTTAGTTTGTTAGAGAGTTAGTTTGTTAGAGAGTTTAGTTTGTTAGAGAGTTAAGAGGTTAGTTTGTTAGAGAGTTAGTTTGTTAGAGAGTTAGTTTGTTAGAGAGTTAGAGAGTTTAGTTTGTTAGAGAGTTAGTTTGTTAGTTTGTTGGGAGTTAGTTTGTTAGAGAGTTAGTTTGTTAGAGAGTTAGTTTGTTAGAGAGTTAGTTTGTTAGTTTGTTAGAGAGTTATGTTGTTAGTTTGCTAGAGAGTTAGTTTGTTAGAGAGTTAGTTTGCTAGAGAGTTAGTTTGTTAGAGAGTTAGTTTGTTAGTTTGTTAGAGAGTTAGTTTGTTAGTTTTGTTAGATAGTTAGTTTGTTACAGAGTTAGTTTGTTAGAGAGTTTAGTTTGTTAGTTTGTTAGAGAGTTAGTTTGTTAGTTTGTTAGAGAGTTAGTTTGTTAGTTTGTTAGAGAGTTAGTTTGTTAGAGAGTTAGTTTGTTAGAGAGTTAGTTTGTTAGAGAGTTAGTTTGTTAGAGAGTTAGTTTGTTAGAGAGTTAGTTTGTTAGAGAGTTAGTTTGTTAGAGAGTTGGTTTGTTAGTTTGTTAGAGAGTTAGTTGTTAGTTTGTTAGAGAGTTAGTTGTTAGTTTGTTAGAGAGTTAGTTTGTTAGAGAGTTAGTTTGTTAGTTTGTTAGAGAGTTAGTTTGTTAGTTTGTTAGAGAGTTAGTTTGTTAGAGAGTTAGTTTGTTAGAGAGTTAGTTTGTTAGAGAGTTAGTTTGTTAGAGAGTTAGTTTGTTAGAGAGTTAGTTTGTTAGAGAGTTGTTTGTTAGTTTGTTAGAGAGTTAGTTTGTTAGAGAGTTAGTTTTGTTAGAGAGTTAGTTTGTTAGTTTGTTAGAGAGTTAGTTTGTTAGAGAGTTAGTTTGTTAGAGAGTTAGTTTGTTAGAGAGTTAGTTTGTTAGAGAGTTTTGTTTGTTAGAGAGTTAGTTTGTTAGTTTGTTAGAGAGTTAGTTTGTTAGAGAGTTTAGTTTGTTAGAGAGTTAGTTTGTTAGTTTGTTAGAGAGTTAGTTTGTTAGAGAGTTAGTTTGTTAGAGAGTTAGTTTGTTAGTTTGTTAGAGAGTTAGTTTGTTAGAGAGTTAGTTTGTTAGAGAGTTAGTTTGTTAGAGAGTTAGTTTGTTAGAGAGTTAGTACCGAGCACATGTCACTTCTTAGACAATGTTAGATAGGACACTGTGTACTGCTAGGTACACCCAGGTACCTAGCAGTAAGTAGGTACCTGGGTGTTAGTCACCGGCTGAGGAAGGCTGAGGGGGGTTAGGGAGGCTGAGAAAGGCTGAGGGAGCTGAGGATGCTATGGGAGGCTGAGGGATGCTATGGGAGGCTGAGGGATGCTATGGG